AGAAGAAGAAGAAGAAGAAGAAGAAGAAGAAGAAGAAGAAGAAGAAGAAGAAGAAGAAGAAGAAGAAGAAGAAGAAGAAGAAGAAGAAGAAGAAGAAGAAGAAGAAGAAGAAGAAGAAGAAGATTTTTGCACACCTTGACTGCTTCGTTACTTATGACGCTGTGGCTGCTACGATATTTATGGGCACCTTGCATGTACTCATATATTTGACGCTGTGTATGTACCGATGTATTTCAGCAAGGTGAATGTATCTATTAATTTGAGGACTTTTGTTGTACCCATATAATTGATTACTTTTGGTGTACCTATATATTTGCATATCTTGTCTGTTACGATCTATATGACGCTGACTGTACATTTCTCATACTAATTTACAAAAAATGGACTACTTAATGACTCCCTGTGCGAACTTAGTTAATTTTTTTAAATATGATAGAAGAGTACCTAGTAAATTGCATATGAAAGCATTCAATGTAAAACTAACACAAGATACAATTGCAACAAAGAATCAATATGTATGTTAATAAAGACTGAAATTAAAACATGTGTAATGAATGAATATTAATTATCATAAATATTTACCCTTGGCAATGTGTCAGCCACTAACAACAATAGTCCAGGTAATGTGATGGGTTTGTCACTGTTGACGAGCTCTGCCAACAGGTCATTGGTTAGTGGCTCGTTGAGATTCAATGCTTCAGAGCACAAGTTCAGAATAGGCTCTTTCACACCAGTTGGTATCCCACTAAAATTTGTAATTCAATAATAAATAATTATTGTTAGGACGAAAATCCGACACTGTGCCGGTGTACTGGCGCAACACTTGTTGCACGAAATGTCGACGTTTATGTCCCCTCACGAATCATTCTGACAGTTGACTTTGTAACAAAAGCGCGCCATTCTCGCAAAAGGATTCTAACCAATAATATCTAAAACTATATTGGTGATATTAAATATTAAAAATTTGGCGCCGTTTTGCCACCATATACGCGTAGATATAGGAATATGGAAGGCGAGAGAGGTCACAGGTCTGCATCAAATATAAATCCATTATCTTCATCTACCCCACAGGGTCACGGGCGTGAATAACACTTATAGCACTACTAGCGCCTTGGGCAAGATTTCTACGGAGCCCTCTTTTTAACATGTATGGAATTAACAAGGTTATGCGGGACTGTGTACATAACAGACCTTTGGCGCCCATTGGAGATCCTCTAACCGCGCCTTACCCTAATGCCGGCCCTGGAAGTGTGTACATACCTGTCTATCCACATTTCCTTGGTGTTATTCTCAATGGTGGTGTATTCGTATTGAACGCGGGTCCAGTCACCAGCGTCGTTAATGCTCAAAGTTTCGTCAAGTGTGGTAACACTACCCCTGCGTACCGGGGACCCTCCGGCGCTCTCCCCCAACATCGCAGGCTCAAATGAGCTTGTGTTAGACCCTTCTTTTTTACTGTAATGAGGTACAATTTAGTTGCGATTTTTTTATGTCATGAAAAAACAATATAGCAAGCAGCCACCTGACCTGTGTTACAGCTGTTACTTAGAATATTTTTTTTATGGGTTATAATTTTTTTATTGATTTTCAAATTGTGCACTATGTTTAAAAACAAGTCAAACATATGTATATATATATATATATTTTATATCATAAGGTGGCAAACGAGCGAGCAGCCACCTGAAATCGCTGATATAGCGAAGTGACCGTTGCCCATAGACATACGCAATTGCATATAGGTTGCCTACCTTTAATCGACGGAGGAGAGGATGCACAGAAAGATAATATATTCCCTTTCCATGCATCCTCTCATCCGGAAAGTCCACTTCCACTTCCCATCCTTTCCTTATAAGAAAAAGGTGGGAAGGCAAAGAGGATTAAATTAGGCTTACGGGACGCACACTCATCAGACAAAACGCGGAATTGCTTCCACTTGACGCCTGTCTTCTGTGTGATCGTGGTATTTCAACGGGCGAACTGGGCCAATTCATGCGACGATGTTAAAGCGGGCTCTACCACTGTTATTTTATATGACCATTCAATTTGTTTAACTAACCACGGTTTTCTCAGTGCAAAATCTCTGTTAAAAATACTTTGTTATCTCTGTTTTGTTTAAGACTATGAGAGAAATGACAATATGTTTTATACAGAGATTATCACTATGGGTTCAGAAACCCATGGTAAGACAATGCATTCTAAAATTATAGGATAAATAAATCACATCTTACATTCCACAATTTTTCTCGCTGTCAATCATTTCAAACTGATCGGGTGTTGCACTGTTTGTTGAATTTCCGCTGCCATAATGATTTTCAGTGGCTGTACAAGTTAGAGGTTTAGCATCTAAAGATTGCTGTATTATCTGTCCTGTTGTTGACAATTTATCTCCAGGTATTTGTAGATCTAGACCTTTACTCTCCGATGTAGGACTTGTTAGGGAATTTAAACTGACTATTGCCGCGTCATACAACTTTTGGAAGTTCAATTTTTCTGTCTCCAATGCAATTATTTTTTGTTTTAATAATTCTATTTCTTCAGCTTGTATTAATATCTGTATAAAGTTATTATTAAGCTAAATATTAATCATTATTTTACTAATCTTACTTCTTACGGATATTATACATGTGAATGTTTAGATGGATGGATGTTTCTTTGAAGGTATCACTAGAAGGGCTGAACAGATCCCGTTGAAATTTGGCATAGATATAAAACATATTCTGGAAGAACAAATAGGCCACTCATAGAGTAGCGGAAGACAGCTTGCTTTCTATAAATTATTAATGTATAATATATATAAAAATAATTGCTCGGTTTTTAAAAATATTACATAGACAATGATAACTTTTTAAAACACAAACTTTTATTCCTCATCTACGTTATGACAGTTTCGCTTAAAAGCAGTGTTGGCATACAACTGGCATAAAGTATAAATTTACTAGAGAGCCAAAACAATCCATGATAGTACAGTGCTACTGTCCTACTGTACTGGCGTAATGCAAACACGACTTGAGCATAAAAATAATCACATTTTTTTAGCGAATATATATTTTTGGATGGTTTTATGCACAAAGTGTCAATAAGTTAAAGAGAAATAGATTACCAGACTTGTGAACTGAAAGATCGAAAGTAAACTTACCTCATGGTTCCAATCTGCGTCATTATCTAATGAAGTCTGACAACTGACACATACATTTTCTTCCTCACATTCCGTTTGGCAAAGTATGTCAAATGTTTGTTTAGTGTCAGTTTGTGTGACTGCATCATTTGTTGAAGTGCTCAATACTCTTTTATTGCCTCTAAATAATGATATCAAACCAGCTGGTCGCGGCATGTTCAGACCAACATCATCCCAATCTTCAAATTCCTTGAAAAAATTAATTTATTTTAATACTTGAACTAATAGTAATTTAGTTTATGCAATTTTCTATTTTTTTTTGTTTTGTAGAGTAAGTTTTATTGGGTCTGCTGCTTAACAATTAACTTTTCTCATTCAGGATTTAAATATGAATTGCAAACAGAGAGAAAAAAAATAGAAAAAAAAAACAGAAAATTACAATTTCGAGCCAACTACATAGTTTTTTTTCTGAAAGGTGGTAGAATTTATTTTTTATCACTTTACCTGATCAGGGTTTTCATCAGAAAATGTAATGGATGTAAGTTTATAATTCTGTAGCAACAAATATTCATTGATAAGGAAATTTAATGCTCTTTTTTCATGTGGCTTCAATGATCTCTTATCAAAATTATCCTGTGTTATCTTATCCAATGCAGACTCACCATCTAAAAAACCATAATAAGAAATACATTGTTGTATTTGTTTTGAAATGGAAATCTTATTGTTAAATCATGGGTTTCTGAGACCAAAATAAAAATGTTCCTATCTCTGTTTGGTCAAAGATGAAAGACATTTATTTTAGATACGACAATATATTTTAAACAGAGTTTTGGTATTAGAAACTAACGGTAAATAAGTTTCATCAGTAAAATTACAGATTTTTGATGTTATAAGGAAATTTATGAAGCAGTGGGTATCCACTACCAAAACACAGATATACAACATACACATTGTCTTTTCTTTCAAAGAAAATGAGAAGAATGACAATATGTTTTTTGTAAAGTAGTGGAAATCTGCTTTATATTACATTTCTATGTAAAATTTACCTGCAAACTGTGTAAGATTAGCTCGTAAAGCATTTATTGTTTCTCTAGCTTTCCTTAGTTCAAATTCTAACACAGCCACATCTCCTCCACTACCACCTCTGTCACCACCACCATCTTCTGAGTACCTGGCTGTGTCCAGTGAATCTAAAGTGGCTTGGCTAGGCGTTCGGTCTGAAATATACATTGAACATTTTTTACAGTTATTTTGTCAAGTTCAATGACATCCAATTTTGTTACATACTTAAAAAAAGAAAAACAATGTAAATATGAGGGAGGATAAATAAAATAATGGACATGATTGCTTTTACTACAGCATTTGTTTTTTACTTTTAAAAAAAATATTTAGATTCTCTTGGGACCATAACTGGCCATATAATCATAACTAATTGATTATTTAAATTTACTTACGCATAGACCCAATATCAGATGGTCTAGATACATGTTGTTCAAAGTTGCCTGGATTTGAAAAGAATTCTCTTAATTGCGGAAGCTCTTTACCGCTTTCAACTAACTCAGTATGAAGCTCTAAAGCTGTTAGAAAGTAATGGTCTTTCAATAATTTAGTTGCGATATCTTCATAAGCGAGATGTGGTGAAGAAGTAAAGGAACTGTCTTCCACGTCTTTATATGGATTCATTGTTTTGATAAGTATTCATATAACCAAACGTGTATTAAAACTTTGTGTATCATCGCCCACATAAGTCAAATAACAAATATTGCTTTGTTTTATCACCAAAACAGACTTTTCCTACGATTATGTGTAATTTGACATATCCGTAATGTTGACAATTGACAGTCCACTTTTGTCATTTGAACAATGAATAGAATATGAAATACATTTAATGAAAAAACACTGAACCACGTTGATTTATTGATTATAATCATTGTTTTATTCAATATCTCTTACTGAGATGCCTTCGTAATTTTATTAAATATTACTAGAAGGTGGTAAAAATAAATGGGCTGTAAAAACTAATTTTTTTGCTTGCATTGGCTTCTATATCAAGTGTCAATGTCAATAACAATCAACTGTCAAGACGCGTAGCCAGTTCAACAGTTTTGTTTTGATTACAATCTAAAATCTAATTACCGTACATTATCCAAATAAACAAATTAAATGATATAAAAGTGTAATAATAGGAGGACCCAGTTCCTTCAATTTAATGATTCTTCATTGTTAACTAACCGGTGCCACAAAATTATAAACATGAGTGAAGGATACTTTAATTTGAAACAAAAATTGGAAGATCTTGGATACAATTATTCACTGCCAATAGAGGCAGTGCCATTGGTAGAATGTATCGTTGCGGATTTGCTGCAGACTACGCGTAGTTTACAACACTACATGGATTTATCTAAAGATGCCCTAATACAGCGCGATAAACTAATGATGGAAGCGGAACCATATAAATGTGACAACGCTAAGTTAATTCGTGAAAATAATTCATTGCATAATGAAATTTTAACACTCAAAGAAGAAAATATGAGACTGTCAAAAGAATCAAAGAGAAAAAATAAATGTATGACAGATGAAATAATGAAAAAAGATGTATTGATTAGCAAACTTCAACACGATATTAGAGATTTAAGCTTAAGAGGATTGTGTGCTGGCACTCAGAGTAGTCGCAATAAAAGTAGAAGAAAAGATGATGAATCAACAGCTGTTAGCAAAATTTGTATTTGCAGTAGTCAGAGTAATAATGACTTAGGTAAGGATACATTTGAACTTTCGAAAACGATTCAGATATTGAAAGATAAAAATGATACTTTAGTAGATGAAATAACATTGCTTAAAAGTAAAGTTGAGCACAGGGATGACGAAATTTTGAGACTTAATATGATGTTAGAAGGTGGTAGACCAGTAACAGCTTTAAATCAAGATTTTTATGGTAACAACCCTGATCACACTGAACAAGCAATAGTCCAACATCTTAAGAAAATCCAAATAGAAAATGATGCATTGAAAAAAGAAATTCACAACGGCTTAAGCAAGCAGCATGAAGCAATGTTGCGTGCTTTGAGTCTAGCTGAAAAGAACAGAAGTTTAGAAGAGGAATTACAAAAAGTTGACAGACTGGCATTGCAAGTTGAAGAGGAATGTAATAAAAAATTGTCATCCTTAACAAACGAAGTTAATTATTTGCAAACAAGATTAGAGAGTTTACGTTTAAAAAATTCTGAATTACAAAGAGAACTTTCGGAATACCATAGGAAAGATAAATCACCTCAGTCATGTTATACACAAGAATCTTTAAATTTGGCTCTCAAAGAAAGAGATATATTACAAAAAGAAATAAAAGATCTTATAGACATCAATAAAAATCTTCAAAATAAAATTGGATCTTTGTCCCAATTTAATAAAACTTACCATGACAAAATATTTATGGATAACCAACATAATGGATCTAAATGCCTTCAAAAGGAGGAATTACAAAAACTTTTACTTGAAGAAAGAGTTAAATATGAAAAGTATATGATAGATATCCAAGAGAAATTATCAGAAGCATTAAATGTTTTCAATAAACATGTACATAATGGTTTTGGAAAAAAACCTCAACAAGATATTTCTCCGGATAATACATTTATAAGAGATTTACACAATAGATTGTGTGAAAGTGAGCAGAAAATTCTTATGTTAAAACAAGAAAATAGTGATCTTAAACAAAACGCAGTCCAACAGGATGATAATAATAGAGAAAATCTTAAAGATGTTATAAAACAACTAAACATGGAAAATACTCAACTAACAAAAGAAAATATCACTCTTTGCCAACAACTTAGTCAGCACAGAATCATGAACTCAGTACAAACAAATCCAGATGAATCTAATTTAAAAGAATTGACTAAGCTAAGAGATAAAAACGAGTCCTTAACAAGAGAACTTAATTACCTTAAAAAGGACCAACAAGAATATCAATTGAGGTATAAAGAAACAGCAGATTTAGTTGAAAAATTAAAAAGAGATTTAGCTGTAAAACAAAAACAGATGGAACAATTAGAGGAAGAAAATTATTCATACAAAATGACTAACAGAACTGGTAAAGCCTCTGTGGAGCAGTTAAGAGATGAATGTAACTTTCTTAGGGAGCAAATAAAGACAATGCAAACAGATGTAATAAAAGAGAAAACAATAGCAAGTCAGATTAAAAATATACAAATTGAAACGGAAAGAAACAGTTCTGAAGTTCAAAATGAATTATTAAATGTTCAGAAAAGACTTAGCTTATCAAAAGATCAGATCAGTTCGTTAGAAAAAAAATGTAAGGAGTTACAATCTGAAATAAATTCATTACAAATTGATAAAACAAATTTAATTGAAAATATTAAATCCATTGATAGGGAAAGAGATAAATTAGTCATAGAATTAGATAACAAAACTGAAAGAATAAGTAACTTGGATGAGAAAGTTAAAAGTCAAGCATACGAAATAAGCAAGTTAGATAAAGAAAATGGCGATTTAAAAAGAAAATTGAATATACAAAAATCAACTGAACACAAACTAGCTGATTATGAATCACAGATTATGTTTTTAAATGATGAGATATCAAGGCTCACTCAACAAAATGATACAGCTATAATGGAAAATAAACGCTTACAAAACAATTTAGGCGATGCAAATGGTGCCCTGAAATTAACGAAATTAGAATTGGAAAAAACCAAAAAGGAAGTTGATAGTCTAAAGCAACAATTACAGCATTACGTTGCAGAGGTCAGAAGAATCGAAGAACTCTTGTCACAGAAAGAAGCGGAAAGATCAGACATGCTCGAACAATTTGCTAGTTTATCTGTAGAAGCAAATATTTTAGAAAACACTAATCATTCGTTAGAAAGTGAATCAGCCTCCAAGTCGATACAATTACAAAGTTATGTTAATAGAATTCAAAACTTGGAATCCAAACTCATTGACAAAGAAAACATAATTGACAGTCAATCTGCACAAATAGCAGCTATGACTTGTAAAGTAAATGCTTTAGAGAATGAAATAAAGCTTATTTCAGATGAAAAGAAGATTCTAGAACAAAATATATCATACATGAAACAAATGTGTAATCACATGCAAATGGAACAATCACAAAAGAATTTGGATCTCAAAGATACGGATTCTGAATTAAAACTTTATGAGAATAAAATAAAATGTCTATCAAATACAAAAGCAAAGTTGCAAGTTGAAAATGATGAAATGAAAAATAAATTAAGTACAACAGAAAAATTGCTTTCAAATGCTAGAAGGGAAATAATTGAATTAAAATTAGCTCTGCAAGATGCAACATCTGAAACTAAATCGTTAAAAGATTGTGTTAGCAGATTAAGTAGAGAACCTGATATTCATGAGGTAATTTTTTTTTATTATCATAAGTATATGCCAGTAACCAGTAACCATTACATCACATAGATTCATAGCATAGCGTGGTAGTAAGTTCTTATGACTAATTTGACCATCAGAACTATAATTATAGTAATGAACATTTGTTTCGCACTTGATTTTGACTAGAGTATGTTAACTGTATTGTACTGTTATAACCACTCTAATGATATTTCTAAATATTTTTCAGTTTAAGCACTAATTTAAATGTTTGATATTGATTGATTATGCTAATCGACTATACACTTTTAAAGAGACAAACAGTGAACCGAAATGTAGAATGGTCATAAATAATTTATTTTTCAATTTATTTTCAGCATACTTTAATAAATGAGGATATTGACTTGCCTCATACTCTTGGTGATACAATTCACGAAGTGAGCAATGAAGATGACGATGACAGCATAATTCATGGTGATCATATGCTACATAAAACATATTCTAAATACTCACATGGGAGTACTATTTGATAGCTTTGTACATTTATATGTTTGGTATGTTAAACAAATGAAAGGTAAAAAAGGAGAGTGTCTTCTGTACATAATAAAAAACACTAGTGAGAATTATTGAAAGAATTTCTAAGAATGTGTGAGATGTGTGTAAAAACCAAATATAATTAAATCTAGCCTCTTACCCTAATGAGTCTAGGTTTTTTATAATTTGGTGATAATTTAAACAGGGAATTTTAAATGTTGGTATTAAGATTTAATATGTAATTTTCTGTAAATATGTCAATATAATATTAATATGTAATACATAAATATAATAAAATTTTAGTTGTCCATGATTTATTGTACAGAATCATAAAATAAAATTCTTATAATATGAAATCTTCATTTATTATCATTGAATAAATAATGCAAAAGTTTTACATACCATCAAAGTTCAACCACAATTTATTGCTATACAGCCACCACAAACAAACAGTAGCTTTTTAATTTAATATTTACATTTCTATCAAAAACCCTACCAACAAATCACGTTAAGTAATTATAGTTTTGTACAAAATAAAATCTATTCTATAATAATATAATTATTAAAATTGATACTAAAACACCTTAGCAAGCAGCTACACATGTCATTTTAATCTTAAATTATCACAAATTATACATTTTGCTAATTGATATATCTCACATATAGTTTATCCAATTTGGATATACTGAGATAGCTATAGCTATTTCATATTATCATTAATGAACTCAATACTATAGAAGACTTTTTAAACTTTTTCGTTCCAATGTGAAGGAAATAATAGCAAACTTACATGCTCTTTAATAACAGACAAGGACAGGCACAAAAAGTGACTATTTTATATAACAAATAAAAAAGTCTGAGTTATGGACAGTAAGAAATAGGATGTCAAACAAACAATTATAACAATGCATTTCTTTTACATTAACTTGAAATCATTGAAATATTTTTGTGAATACTATCGGTGGGCACATAAAGCCAATTTTTTTAAATAATTTATAACTTTTAGATAGCCTTAAACATGGATTTGTGATGATTGTGGAATGTTTGCCTTGACACATTCACTTGACCAATTGATTGTTGATTTCCGAGATAAAAATCCCTGAGTAAAACATATAGTTATCTATATTTTGTCTAAGATAATGAGAGGGATATGTTTTAGACAGGGACTTTGCTTTCAGAAGACAATGATAAGAGGTATAGAAATCAGTCAAGTTAAAAATGATTATTTACATGCAATTTTTATACAAACATAAATTTAAATGAATTATTTTGCATCACAGCATTTAAATGATAAACATGTTTCTTTAGGAAAGTAATATTTTGAAATAAGGATTAATTTAATATTTACATTATTAAATCTATTGGTATTAAGAATATTAACTACGCAAGTAGTATATTTTTGCTATAACATGTCAAGCTATATAATACATATTTTCCGTTGATCAGCACCATCTAAATTATTTCAGATACATTAAGATAAGGCATAATTGACTTTACACATATTTTATTAATATTATTGAACTACAGATATTTTATAATGTTGCTAATATTCTTGTGAATCCTATACCAGCCCCTAATACTGTTTGTCCAATACCCCATATCATAGCATGTATCGGTGGCATGTCCAGCTTAGCCGCACGATATATAAACGCTATAGCAGCACTGCTTGCAACACCCGATGTGACCGGAGTCACAACTCCCATAACTATTAATAATACAGGAAAGAACTTCCCGTATTTATGCTTCCGTAAAGTACCAAAAGCAACTAATCCCGCACAAGTATGCACAAACACAGATGAACACAATGACCACAAAAACACTGGGTACCACATTTCACCAAAAGTATCAAGGGGATCGCCTGAAGTCAATTTTAATATATCCACGAATGAATCAAATTCAGACACTTTAAATTCCGACAACATGTCATACATGTTGTCTTGATAAAGTTAATGATAACATGCATCGGGCTGAATTTTCCTTTCATCAAAGTTCGAATAATAAAAATAGGTGGCTAAAATTGGCTCGCTTAGGGTTTTATATGTTTCTCAAGAGAGACGTTAATGTGATTATAATTGTGCCTCAACATAGAAAATATACAAATAAAAATGTTATATGTATGTTCTTTCAATTATGCAAACTTATTGTTTTACACTTGAGTAATATACATTTATAAAATAACAAAAAATCACAGACATTTCATATTTCATTTGACATTTACTTCCAATTTGACATTTTCATTTTTTTCTTTGTCTTTCTCACAGATTACTAAACTACACTTTACTGTGTTTTATATAATATTTGTTAACTTCGTTGTTTTCGTAAGGCATTTTGTTGCTATTTTTGTTTACTTACACGTTTCTTGTATCTTAATTCGATCACCAGCGTCCAGTGATTTGGCATTTTTACAAATATCTATATTTAAGAGCTTAGCAGTCAATTTAATCGTGTCCTATTAGAAAGCGCAAACAGAACGGGTATACGATTAAAATACATACACAATCCAATCTCTTGATAATAATAAAGTGATACTTTCAGGGAATATTTTCTGATTTGTGTGAAGGTTCCAAAAGTTAACATAATTAATTTTTTACTTGTTTAAGCTTTGTTTTCCAGTTTATTATCAATGGCATTATATACTCTTTGATGACATTGTTGAAAAAGTCAATATTTCAATGTAGTGAAGTTGGTAACAAAAACATAAATTGAAGAAGTATCGTGAAACCTCTTTTTTTAAAACGATTGTTATTTTTAAGATTAAACTAACTATTTTTATAGGATATTGAGGATACCTGTCGATTTGAAAAGGTAAATAGTTAATTCATGAATTATCCGAAAGAAAGAAATTGGCTTATTCATTAGTCTGAAGTTAGTGTGAAACGGTCTAGCCGTTCTGTCAAAATTCATGTACATTTACGATACAAATAACCTAACCTCGTTAATTTTACACCCCGCGTGTTTGTTTTTAGTTATTTGTTAGTTAAATTGTGATAATATTTAGTAAGTGTGATAATACTTAAAAAGTGACCAAAATGGGTAAAGTTCGATCAGCAACGGGAGCGCCCCGAAAACAGGGGTTCAATAAATCTGGACACTCTATGAATCCAGACCGTCCTACAGAAGGTTTGAAGGGAGTCGGTAAGCCAAGAACAAAGGCAACAATTAAAAGGCTGCAGATGTACCGTAATTTCAAGGCAAAAAGAGACAAAACTGGGAAAATCTTAACCCCTGCGCCGTTTCAAGGCTGGTTACCATCAGGTACACAAGCTAGAGTAGAACCGAATCAGAAATGGTTTGGCAATTCCCGGGTAATTTCTCAGAATGCTTTACAAAAATTTCAAGAAGAGTTTGGAGCTGCAGTTAAAAATCCATACAAGGTTATCATGAAGCCTACAAATTTACCTATAACATTGCTGAACGAGAAAGCTAAAAATGCCAGGGTCCATCTTTTGGATACTGAAGGCTTTGACAAAACTTTTGGTCCTAAAAAGCAAAGAAAGCGTGTTAATTTGAAATTCAGTGATATAGAAAATTTTTCGAAAGCAGCAGAAATAAGTAGTGAAAAATATGACGAAAGTAAAGATATTGATCTAGTCCGTGAAGACACTGGTGTGAGAGAGGGACAGAGAGATTGGGTGTTTGGAGCCGGCATGAGTAAAAGAATCTGGAATGAATTATATAAAGTCGTAGATTCATCTGATATCCTACTCCAAGTCCTTGACGCTCGCGATCCTATGGGCACAAGAAGTCCTTATGTTGAGAAGTTTTTAAAAGAAGAAAAGCCCCACAAACATTTGATTTTCATCTTAAATAAAGTCGATTTAGTCCCCAATTGGGTAACGCAAAGATGGGTTGCTATACTAAGTGCGGAATATCCAACCATAGCATTTCATGCTTCAATGACCCATCCATTTGGTAAAGGGTCACTTATAAATTTGTTACGTCAGTTTGCTAAACTACATATTGATAAAAAACAAATTAGTGTTGGTTTAATTGGATACCCTAATGTTGGAAAGTCATCAGTTATTAACACTTTAAGAGCTAAAAAGGTCTGCAAAGTTGCTCCCATTGCAGGAGAAACTAAAGTTTGGCAATATATTACTTTGATGAGAAGAATATTCTTAATTGATTGCCCTGGTATTGTTTATCCTTCAGCCGAGACAGACACAGAAAAGGTTTTAAAAGGTGTAGTAAGAGTGGAATTGGTACAAAATCCAGAAGATTATATTGAAGAGGTCATAAAGAGAGTGCGGAGAGATTATCTAATTAAAACATATAAAGTTGATGGATGGGAAACTTCAACTGAGTTCTTAGAAAAACTTGCTGCAAGGACAGGAAAATTACTTAAAAAAGGCGAACCTGACATTTCACAGGTTGCTAAGATGGTACTCAATGATTGGCAAAGAGGCAAATTACCTTTTTATGTAGCACCCGAAGGTTTTGAAGTGCCATTGTCTAAACAAGTTGAAAAGCAAACTGAGGTACAGGATAACACTGAGGTACAAGAAAAACAACAAACTAAAATCCAAGAAAGTGAGGAAAAACCTGAAAACAATATTAAGGAGGTTGTAGAAACACCTGAACAACCGAAATTGATGATCAACAAGTTGGTAATAGCACAAGACTTTGCTAAAATAAGAGTAGGCTTACCATTTGATAATGAACAGGATGTTAAACCACTTCAAGAAATTGAAATTCCTGAAGAGTTGAAAGGTATTGATGATGGAGATGACAATGATAAATCATTAAATGAATCTGGAATTGTAGATGACAATGATAAAAAAGAAGACGAAAATGATTCTGATTCAGATATTAGTAACTTTTATAGTAATGATGAAAAAGAATGCAGTGATGTAGAAGATTATTTAACAAACAATCCAGAAACTGTAAAAGAATTAAAAAGAAAAAGGTTGGAAGTGGCCAGTGGTACTTTCACTGTAGAAGAAGTACCAAATAAGACTGCAAAAGTTAAATCATCTAATGTTGGAAATAAATTAACAGCTAAACAAAGAAGAGCATTAGAAAGGGCCCAACGTAGAACTAAAACTGGAAGCAACTTCTATGAAGTATCCAATGTTAAAAATAGGAATAGAAATAAGAAAAAGATTGTATAACATGACCTCTTTTGTGTTTTACTATTATAATAAATTAATTTAATGATATTTATTGTTTTATTTGACAAGGAACAGATTCGTAATTATTTATTGAGGTATTAATC